TGCCTTAAGAGGGATGGATTTCAATTCCCAGAATTCCTTGGCCAGCTGGCTGGAGATTTCTGGGAGTTGAAGTCAACGCGTGTCTTCAAGGGGCCAACTTTGGGGACCCCTGATCCGGATGGTCTCTGTGGCCACGGGGTTGGGCTTTTGGGGGGGACGGTCTCCGGGGGAACTTGAGGGGCTCCAGGAATGGAGAAGCAACTTCTAAATGTGCTGCTGGTGGAGTCTCTCCTGGGCCAGGAATGAGGCGTGTCTGGATGTGTCCTGGGAGGAAAGAGGAACTGGGTGTGGGGAGGCGGCGGAGAGGAGGGGAGGGCGCAACCTTGCATGCTCCCTTCCCCAATGGGCCAACCAGACGGAGGCGATGTCGGCGGAGCAAACCAGGAGGGGAAGGTGAGTCTTCTGCGCCAAGGGTGGGTTAGGGGGTCTTTTTTCTTTTCTAACTTGCTCCTTTTACTCCTCTTCCATTTCTACCCCTTTCCTTCTCTCCCTGGTCTATTTTCTCTTCTTTTTCCTCCTCTTTCTCTGTTTTTTTTCTCCTCCTCCTCTCCACAGTCGTCCTCCTCCTCTTGTCTATCTTTCCTTCTCGTTAGGCATCTTCTTCTTGTCTTCCTCTCCTCCCCCGTCTTCTCCTCTCTCTTGTACGCCTCCTCCTCCTCCTCCTCTATCTTCTCCTCCTCTTAACAGAGAGTCAGAGTTGGAAGGGACCTTGTAGGTCATCTAGTCCAACCCCCCGCCCAAGCAGGAGACCCTACACCGTTTCTGACAAATGGCAGCCTAGTCTCTTCTTGAAAGCCTCCAGTCTTCCTCTTCCTCCTCCTCCTCTCCTTCATCTTCCTCCTCTTCTTTTCATTTTCACTTTAGTCAAACAGCCTCATTACACACACAGTCCTCCACTTGCGACTTTCATCGGGGCCTGAACATCCATTGCTAAGCAAGGCAGGTGTGACCTGAGCTGCTTCCGAGTTTAACCCTTGTTTTTGCCACGGTTGCTAAGCGAATCCTGCAGTTGTTACCGCGAATCGTGCGATCCTTAAACGAAGGGGAAAGGGTGCAAAAAGTGATTTTGCAAATCATTAGCCCAGGCCAGCTGGGGGCTACGGTGGTCGCAACTGTGAGGACCAGCCCTAAGTCCTTTTTTTTCCAGTGGCGTCGTTGAACAAACGGTTGCAAGTCGAGGAAAATCTGTATGTTCATATTTTTCTCTTTCAGCTAAATGCCGAAAACAGAGAGATGGGGTTGGCGTCAGGCAGGGGCCTTGGGATGTGCAGCTCCCTCGCCCCTCCCCCTCTACAGGTAGCCCTCGACCACAATCGACCCCCAAATTCCTGTTGCTAAATGAGACAGTTGACGATGCTGCAACGGTCATAAGCGTGGAAAGCGGTCATATAAGTCAAATTTTTTTTTTCCGGCGCCGTTGTAACTTCACACGGTCACTAAATGAATAGGCGGTAAGTTCAACGGGTGCTTGTTTGCCTGTAACCTGTTAAAGGAGCAATTTTACCCCGTGGCTAAACCTGCCTGCGATGACCCAACCAGGCCTGCCGCGGAGAGAGAGAATATAGAATCATAGGGTTGGAAGGGACCTCAGAGGTCATCTAGTCCAACCCCTTCCCCTACTCAAGACCCTAAATTTCATTTTAGTGTACGGAATTTCATTTTAAGGCAAGGATCTTCCAACTTGGCAAGTGTAAGACTTGTGGACTTCAACTCCCAGAATTCCTGCGCTAACATGGACTGGAGAAAGAGGAATTCTGGGAGTTGAAGTCCAGAAGTCTTAAAGCGGTCAAGTTGGATGACCCCTGTTTTAAGGTATGCCGCCGATTAGCGTACATTCAAAGTGACAATAAAATTATTCTTATATACTATATACCATTCCAGACAAATGGCTGTCCAGTCTCATCTTTGAAACCCTCCCAGAGATTGAGGGGAAATCTATTACCCTGCCAACTGCTGGGAAGGGAGAACCAAGTCAGAAATCGCACCCAAGTCTTCCCCACAGCTCCCTAAAATACGTTGGCTGGACTGAACTATTTGATTTACACCAAGGTGGATAACTGCTGTGTACAAGATCCCCAAGGCACCTTCAGGCTTTGTAAATACATGCCTGAGTAATTAATCATTAAGGAAAGAGGCTGCGTTGACATCGTGTCAGGGCACAGGAAGGGTGAGGTCTAGAAACTTTAAAAAAGAGCTTGCATAATTAACGCGTTGTGTAAGGCCTCCCCCCCCCGTGCCCCACCCAACCCTCGAAAGCCTCCAGCTGTGATGGACTACAGCTAATCTCCGACTTACAACCAGTTCATTTACTGACTGAAGTAAGAACGGCACGGAAAAAAAGTGACTTACAACCGGTCCTTGCACTTACAACCATATTTCACAATTACGACTGTTGCGGCATCCCCGTGGACACGTGATCCAAATTCAGACATTTGGGCAACTCACTCGTATTTATGAGGGTTGCTGGGTCCCAGGGTCATGTGATCTCCTTTTGCAACCTTCTGACAAGCGAAGCCAATGGAGAAACTAGATTCACTTCACGACCGTGTGATTCGCTTAGTGACTTTGCAAACAGACAGGATTCGCGATTTTTCACACCTTGTTTTTTAAGGTGCATTCATCCTATTGTTAGATTTTTTTGAGGTTGCGGTTGCTAAGTTTTTAAAAGGAGGCCAGGAAATAGAAAGTCTGTTTGCTCACCGTTTGTGGGTCAGTGTGTCCACTCTGGTTTCAAAAGTTGTTGGGGAAAAAAAGAGAGGAAAATGACCAAAAGTTTGCAGGCTTCCAAAATGAGTGAGCCCATTCGCAATGACCAAACCAGGGGTGGGATTGTACCAGTTCGCACCTATTCGCTAGAACCGGTTGTTAACATTCTAAGCAGTTCAGAGAACCGGTTGTTAGAAGGAATTACTGGCCTAATCCTGTAAGGAAGGCAGGAAGGAAACATTCTGGTGTTGCTTACAGAAACTGCCTCTCCGTTAACCCTGTTTACATTCTTGGCAGGACTGGACTTCCTGTCTCTGGAACTTCTCTGGAGGTTTTTCCCCTCCTTTGCTGGTACTTTGCTTGTGTGGAGGAACCATTCAAAGTTACAATGGCACTGAAAAAAGTGACTTATGACCATTTTTCACACCTACGACTGTTGCAGCATCCCCACAGTCACGAGAGGCCAGGCGAGGAGATGCGTGCCTAGATGTGAGTGATATTGAGTTGGCCACGTCCACCCAGTCACATGACCACCAAGCCATGCCCACAGCACTGGTTGTTAAAAAATTTGAATCCCACACCTGGCCCAAACCAAAACTGTACAACAGATTGTGTTGTTAATAAAGAGACAATGTCACACCTTGGCCACACGCACACACACCCAGGAGCAAAAAGAATGTCATTCTTACACAATTGTCGATTTGCAGGAATGCCTTTGTGTGCTCAACACCCTTTCCCCCACAGCCGAAAACTTCCCTCTACAAGTAACTTACGACCACAACTGGGATTGGAATTTCTGTTGCTAACTAAGGAGGTTGTTAAGTGAGTCACATTGTATTTTTACAGTGGTCCTTAAGCGAATTGCTGCTGTTGTTTGGTGAATTGCACACAATGTTACAAACTTTTTTTCCCACGGTTGTTAAGCGAATTGCTGCTGTTGTTAAGTCATATCATATAGTCATTAAGTGAATCTGGCTCTTCATGTTGACTTTTGCTTGTCAGAAAGTTGCAAACGGGGGTCACGTGACCCCGGGATGCTGCAAATGTCATAAATGCATGCCAGTTTGCAAGTGCCCAAATCCTATGATGGTTGTAAGTGCGAGAACTGGTCATAAGTCACGTTTTTAAGGTTGGCTACCTATGGAAGGGGGAAAATTGGATTCAAAGTCGTGTTTTCACCCATATTCATATCTGCTTTGCTGGTTGATGTGACTCTACAGACCTGAAAAACAATAGCAAACATAATAATACAGTATTACAAGCAGATGCCACAGACCATAATCAAGATATCCTGGTTTAACTTACTGACTCACTTGTTTATGTCTCCCCATCCGCAAAATTTTTTAAAGATGCCCCTGGCATGATAGAAGCATTGAGAACGGATTGGAGAAGGGATTATGCAGTCTGGCAGTTGATGCCAGGAGAAATAAATTCATAATAACCTGGTTTGATTTTATTTAGCATAAGAGGAGACATGGATAAACATGGATTGTTTTTCTAGATCTGGGTATTATGCCCCGTTCAAGTGTTTTTCAACCTTGGCAACTTAAAGATGTTTAGTCTTCAGCTTCCAGAATTCCCTAGCCAGCTGTGCTGGGAGTTGAAGCCCACCCACCTTAAAGCATACTGGCTGGGGAATTCTGGGAGTTGAAGTCTACATATCTCAAAGCATGTTGTCTGGGGAATTATGGGAGTTGAAGTCCATTTACCTTAAAGCATTCTGGCTGGGGAATTCTGAAGCTGAAATCCATTTACCTTAAAGCATGTTGGCTGGGGAATTCTGGGAGTTGAAGTCCATGTATCTTAAACCACGTTGACTGGGGAATTCTGGGAGTTGAAGTCCATGTATCTTAAAGCATGTTGACTGGGGAATTCTGGGAGTTGAAGTCCATTTACCTTAAAGCCTGCTGGCTGGAGAATTCTGGGAGTTGAAGTCCATGTATCTGAAACCACGTTGACTGGGGAATTCTGGGAGTTGAAGTCCATGTATTTGAAACCATGTTGACTGGGGAATTCTGGGAATTGAAGTCCATGTATCTTAAAGCATTCTGGCTGGGGAATTCTGGGAGTTGAAGTCCATGTATGTGAAACCACGTTGACTGGTGAATTCTGGGAGTTGAAGCCCATGTATCTTAAACCACGTTGACTGGTGAATTCTGGGAGCTGAAATCCATGTATCTTAAACCATTCTGGCTGGGGAATTCTGGGAGTTGAAGTCCATGTATCTTAAACCACGTTGACTGGGGAATTCTGGGAGTTGAAGTCCTCCCTTCTTCATCCTTAAGCCCACCACAATCCTTCACATCTTAAATATCAAATTCCCCCCCCCCACCCTTCCTCTTTTCTGAATTTTTAAGGGCGTCCTGGTGTGAACCATGATTCGGATCAAACTGTTTCATCCTGGTTTGTTTTTAAAGTGCCCGAAACTTTTGAAACTCTGGCCTGACTCGGTGTCTCTGCCTTCTCTTCTTTCCCAACGGGGGGTCTCCTTCCCAGGACATGACCATCAACGAAGTGGTCTCTTCGCTACTAAGGGTGGAGGAGACGTTCTCTGCGCATCTCGCACGGATCAACGCTCTAGTTCTCAAGCCCCTTCTGCAAGCAGGTGAGAAGGAGAGTCTTGGGTTCAGGTTCAGCTGCTCTTAATCTGTGCTTTGGAACCAGAGGTAAGTATTCAGCTGGTTCCGACTAGTTCTGGAGAACCGGTAGCGGAAATTTTGAGTAGTCCAGAGAACCGGCAAATGCTACCTCTGACTGGCCTCACCCCCATCTATTCTCTGTCTCCTGAGTCCCAGCTGATTGGCTGGGTCTTCTTTGGTTGCCATGCATAGGAAAATGGAGCTGGAAAGCAGGTTAGTCGGGTGGGAATTGAGATTTTGCAGTATCCTTCCCCTGCTACACCCACCAAGCCACGCCCACTGAACCAGTAGTAAAAAAATTGGAACCCCACCACTGTTTGGAATGGGTCATGTCAGTCAGAGCCGGGTTCGAATTTACCGTGGGTGATTCAAGATAACCAATCTAGTTCCTTGACTTACTCAACTGAGCCCATGATTTGCATGGCTAAGCGAGACAACTGTTAAGTGAGCTTTGCCCCTTGACCTTTCTTGCCCATTGTTAAATGAATCCCTGCAGTTGTTAAGTGAGTCACATGTTTGTTAAGTGAAACTGGCTCCCCCCCACTGACTCTGCGTGCCAGAAGGTCGCAAAAGGGGATCACGTGACCCCCCCCAGGACACTGTGACCGTCATAAATACGAGTCAGTGTCTGAATTTTGATCTTGATGCCACGATGGTCGTATGTTTGAAAAACATTCATAAGCCACTTGAACAATCACTAAATGAATTGCTGTATATCAAGGACTATCTGTGCTCCGCTAGTTGTAGCTGACTTTATGAGGTAAACTAGGGAAATTAAGGGGTGGGTAGGAAACATTGCTGAAAAACAAGTTGTCAAATTTGGGGAGCGTGATCCTCCATTTATCCTTTTCCTTTTTCAGTTGGGCTCAATTGTAGCCATAAGTTGAGGACTTCCTGTATAGTCACTTGAAAAATAACTGTGCCTACATCCAGGGGTTTTTAATGTTTTAGTTTTAACTAATAAATGCAATGACAATAAAGTAAACTAACTAACTAATTATAATTTGAATTAGACACAAAATTTAATATTATCTATAGAATTGAGCCCACTTCTGGCCCACAGGAAAGAGAAGAGAAAAAAAAACCTTTAATTTTGAGGATATTATATCATCAGGGAAGGATCCTCTCTATAGGTAGTCCTTGACTTACATCAGTTCGTTCAAACTGACAGCAGCATTGAAAAAAATAACTTACAATTGTTTTTCACGCTTACGATGATTTGCAGCCTCCCTGGTGTCACATGATCAAAGTCCAGACTCTTGGCAACTGACTCGTATTTACGATGGTCGTAGTGTCCTGGAGCCCTTATGTGACCAAAGTCAATGGAAGAAGCCAGGTTCACTTAACAACTGCCTTACTGACTTAACAACGGCAGGGATTCATTTAACAACTGTAGCAAGCAAGATCATAAAATGAGTTAAAACTCACAGATGTTTTGTTTAGCAACATTAATGTTGGGCTGAATTGTAGTTGTATCCGAGATGACCAAATTTCCTTTATTTCTGGACGATGGAACGTTTTTCCTACCAGATCCTTTCACCTTACGGGGGTCTCAATTTTTGTATTAAAAGGCTCTTTGGAGAATGTAAAGTTCTTTGTCCTGTTAAACGAACACTTCCAAGCGATCTGGCATCTGACGGAGGGGAACTACAGGACGCTAAAGGAGACGTACAGCACTTCCGAATCCATTGGTGTCCCCGATGTGTATCTCGTTTGCAAAGTGGACTCGTTCCTGAATGCTTATGTCCAGTGAGTACCACAAAGCCCATCTCGTGGAGAGGTGTGGATGTTTGGCTGTTGTTCAGAGGGTTTTTTTTTAAAAAAAAGATAATTTATCCCAGCATAAAACACAAAAATGTAAGAGGAAGTTGAAGGTCAAATAAAGGAAGAAATAGGGAAGAGTGAGAAGTGGAGGGAAAAGAGAAAAAATATAGAATAAAAAAATTCGCTTATAATATTCTAATTGAATTATAGTTAAAATATAGAATAATAATAATATTCTAATTGAATAATAGAATTAATATAGAATAAGAATATTATCAATATTCAATATTCTAATTGAATGATAGAATTAACATATAGAATAAAAATATTATTTGATTATATTCTAATTGAATTATAAAGTTAAAACATAGAATAACAAAATTGTAATATTCTAATTGGATGATAGAATTAAAATATAGATTAAGAATATTATTTTACTATAGTCTAACTGAATTATAGAATTAAAATATAGAATAACAAAATTGTAATATTCTAACTGAATTATACAATTAAAATATAGAATAACAATATTATTGTACTCTACTACATCATTTGGTACAGTAGATTAGAATAATAAGATGAAACCTCAACTTTTTACTTTTATATAAATAGTATATACATGTAATCCTTGACTTACGACCACAATGGAGCCCCAAATTCCTGTTGCTAAGCAAGTTAAGTAAATTTTGCCCCATTTTATGACCTCCCTTGCCACCATTGTTAAACGAATCCCTGCAGTTGTTAAGTTAGTCACACGGTTGTTAAGTGAATCTGGCTTCTCCTGTTGACTTTGCTTGTCAAAAGGTCGTGAATGGAATCACATGACCTTGCGACCGTCATAAGTATGAGTCAGTTGCCATGTTCCTGAATTTTGATCACGTGGCCATGGGGGATGCTGCAAGTGTGAAAAACGGAATAAGTCCCTTTTGTCAGGGCCATTACAACTTTGATTAGTCACTGAACGGACCGTTGTAAATTGAGGATTACCTGCAAATCCTCGGAAATACGCGGAAAGATTCGCTCGAACGCAGCCGATTTTCGATCGCCGGTTGGTGGGGAGTCCAAGAAATGGATTTTTATGGTCCCAAAAAGTTTGGAAACCCCTAGAATCCGTGAAAATTAGCCAAAGGATTTTTCTCCTTGTCTTCGCATTTCCGGTGATAATGTGTCTTGGAAAGATCTTTTCCTTCTTATGGTCCAGCCTTATTTCTCTACTACTCGCTTTCTCCTCTGTGGTTCAGGATCTGTCTTAGTCTTCCTCCTCTCCATAACGGAGGAGAAGACCCTACAACCCCTTACCCGCTCTTAGATCGGGGGGTCCCCAAACTTGGCAGCTTTAAGCCTTGTGGGCATCAACTCCCAGAATTTTTCAAATAACTCAAGAGTTTCCCATTCCTAGCCTCTCTCCTAAATATAGGCAGTCCCCGACTTACAACCGTTCGTTGAGTGGCGGCTTCTTCATCTCCTGGGCTCTTAGGATCCTTCCACACCCCAAGCGACCAGGATGATGGCATCTGGGAGTTGCAGGATCTCTTTGGGCTTGCAATTTCTCGACCTTGGTGTTAAGTTCGGGTAATGAGAGGCTGAACCAGGGCATGGGTGCAACAATACTTTATTAGGGTAATAAAGGACTGAACGTGCTTGCCAAGCCTGGAACTGGCTCGCAGCGATCAGCAACTGGTTGGACCCCGCAGCCTGCTTTTATAGCTGGCTGCTGGGGAGAACCAGCCAATGAGAGGGGGCAACCGCCCCTGCAACGCGAACGGACCTGGGTGGGAACTTCTTTTAGTTCCAGGGACATAACACTTGGCAAATTTAAGAGAGGGGACTTCAGCGCCCAGAAATCTCCAGCCAGCATCCTTCAATTCTGGGAGCTGGAGTCCATCCCTCCTAAAGCCTGCAGGCTGGGGGATTCTGGGAGTGGAAGTCCTCCCCTCTTAAAGCATCCTGGT